ATCAGCCCCTTTGTCGGACAAAGGTAATGATCGGGGATGCACTCTCACTGATGGAAACCAAGACTGCCGGCAGCCGATTTCACTGAGTGGGTGATCATAGAGTTGGCTCTCTCTCTCTCTCTATATATTATATGTAATATAATATAATATAATGTAATGTAAAATAATTATAGAAAATGATGTATATAATAAAAATGTTATAAATCTTATTTTTTTTAAATATCAAATAAATTTTTTTTATATATAATTATTAATTTTTATAAAATATATTTTTTTTCAAATCGAGCTCGAGCTCAAGGTTTTAACTCGAGCTCGAGCTCGAGCCTCATACTATTCAACTCAGCTCGGTTGAATCCAACCCTACTTGGGTTCATATCATCTGTCCACTCTTAATAAAAAGCAAACACGACATCTTTCTTATGTTTTTTTGGGGTGCAAATCGGGTGGGTTGGGCCGGGTTTATGGTCAATCTGGGCCCATCCTTGAAGGTTGGGTTTAAGGCTCGAGTTCGAAGTTAAGCCTGATGTTCTTAACCCAAGTCCAACCCACACTATAATTTGGTGAATTTAGGTTGGGCTTGGGTTCATCATTGAATCAACGAATTTAATCTAAAATTATACATACATACATATATAACATTTAGGGAAAATTTCTGATTGGTACTCTGTACTTTGGGCCTAGTGCCACTTTAGTCTCCGAATTTTAAAATGCGACTATTTAGTACCTGAACTTTTAAAACATGACAATCCAGTACCTGTTGTTAACTAGCTATTAACCAACCATTAAGTGACATTTGAAAAAGACACAAATGCCCTTCGAGTGTAATCTAATTTTCTTTATCAACCATCCAAACATTGACAAAAAATTAACAGTTTCAAATCCTTGTCTCTTCTGTTAAAGAAAGTTGGGGTCACCAGAATGCCCTCTCAAATGACCCCAACTTTCTTGAATGGAAAAGGTAAGGATTTGGGACTGTTAATTTTTTTGTCAATGTCTAGATTGTTGATAAAGAAATTAAATAATGCTTGAAGGGCATTTGTGTCTTTTTCAAATGCCACTTAACAACTGGTTAACAATTAATCAACGATGGATAATGGATTGTCACGTGTTAAAAGTTTGGAGACCAAAGTGGCATTGGGACCAAAATACAAGGTACTAATCGAGAATTTTTCCTTATATTTATTTATGCAAATATGTATATATATGCAAGTATGAATGTGTATGATTGGGTTGAGTTCAGATTGGGTTCAGACTCTCTAAAGACTAGGCCTAGGCCTTCTTGGCCTGAGCCCAACCCGAAGACTGAAAATCCAAGCATAATGATTTCAAAGTTAATCATACTATTTAACTTAGGGCACGAAGTCTAACAAAACGTTCATTTTATTGTTTTTTAAGAAAATGTTACAAGGTATGTACCTTAGAAATGACCTTTGCAAAAGATACGATACGGTATGCCCGATACGGGACGTATCGTATCAATAAACCATGGTAATATTAGATGAGGAAATATTAATTTAAAGTATATCACTTCTCTCTAGATATATATTTAATATTAATCCAACATTTTATGTATTAGACCAGAAAATTAATTAATTTAATGCAAAACTTATTAAGAAAAATAATAAGGACATGTAAATATATCTATCCAAATTTAATTTAAAAAAAAGGCCCAAAACAATGAATCATTAGGTCTGTTCGTTTCCTCTAATTCTTACCTCTTAAAAGGAATCTTGCAACTTTAAGAGGAAACGAACCACCACCACTTTCTCTACCCATTCCCTTCAATTAATATATATGGTGGGTCACGATTTTTCATTCATTTAACACCGTCTATCCTTCATTCGCTTCTTCTTCTAACTTAATTAAAATGTTAAAATAGATAATCTTTATACAAGACTATATAATTAAGAGAAAATATAGTAGTATTATCACGTGTTGTAATCTGTCCGGACTTTAGCTTCTAAATCCAATAAAGTAACAAGGAAAATTACAGAAGGAAATAGTTGTATACAACCGATGTGGTCTAAACTCTAAAGTGTAAAAACTTCTAGACTAGCATCAAAGTTTCAAACATCTCGATTGCTGGGTTTCTCTCATCTCCTTCCCCACTTGTTGTCCTGTCAACTAATCCACTGTTCTGAGATAACAATACAGCAAACCCAACACAGAGCCACAATAAAGCATACACAAAAAAGACAACAATCCACAATGCAGACAAGTTAGACATGCTTATTAATTCAAACCAATATAAAATTGCTCCTAAGATTGCTCCAAAGATGGCCATTGTAACAACGATAACCACGTTCCTGATCAAATGCGGCGTCATCATATATCGGAGTTTCCCTCTTTTCCATTTTACAAACCGAAGCAACAACCACCATGCAGGCATGATTATTAATCCAAAATATTTCTTAAAGACAACCATTACGCCAACTATAACCGTGATCTCCATGAAATACCTCCATTGGGAAAGACGTTCATTTGCTTCTTCTTCTTCTCCCCTTGTTCTCCTGCTAACCAATCCACGCTTCTCAAGCAACCACCGAGCAAACCTAACTGACTCCCAAAATGCAAGCATGCTTACTAATCCTACCCATTGAAAAAATAGACCCATGACGGCCGCTGAAACAGCGATAACTGTGATCTTGATCAAATGCCGCATCATATACCTCCATTGGGGTTTCCCTCTTGTCCATTTAACAAACCGAACCAACTGCCGCACCATGAGCATGCCCATGAATGTCAGCCAAGAAATTATAAGAGAAGTTCGAAAGTCTGTCTGCAACTGAAACATCAAGAAAATCAAAGCCACTGAAGTGATTGCGATCATCATGACCGCTGTCAAAACCCTTATCCGATACCTCCGTCGGAAAGGAAATCCGACAAGTATCAGCACGATTATGGTGAGAGATGATAGAAACCCAAGAGTGTCCACGTAAACGAACATATAATACCTATCCGCGTCGATGCAATTAGGGGTGGTATTATGGGTCGTACACTTGTAATGGTTGTTTCCAGCTTCAAATGTTACGGTTGCTATCAATATGGCCACCACCATCAGTGTATTTGAATACTCATTTAACCAGCGATGGTCTTCCTCTTCCCGTTCGCTCTGTGCACGAGGCAGTGCCGTCCGGTTACTTGCCGGGGTCAGAATCTGATTATTGGGTGACTGAGAGATATCCCTGGACCTTAAGCCTCCGGCATCTCGAAGGATCTCTCCAATTTCCATGTCACATAGTTTTGCCGGACTTTGTATCAAAGTATCCAGCGCAGTGGCACCATTCAAGTTCATTGCATTGACTTCCACACCGGAACTGGTGGGCTCCGTCAGCAAGAATTTTATACTCTGCACTTTTAAATTCCTCTTCTGTTAGTATCACTAGCTACCTGCAAATATAGAAACCAAAAAAGAAGTAAAAAACGAATTTACATGCCTTGATTTGCCTGTTGGCAACAGCAAGATGCAAAAGGGTGTTACCACGGTTGTCCTTGGACTTGAGGAAGTAGTCTTTATTCTCCACACTTTGTAACAGCAGCTTAAACGCTTCAAACTGATTATATTGTAAGCACAGGTGCAGAATCGTTTCTCCTCCATCCGTCTTCACATGTGCTGACTCAGGCATGGCGTTAATTAACTCGTTTATCACTCCTAGATGGCCTTTTACTGCTGCTATATGAAGAGGAATTCTTCCTTCCTGATCGGAGAGAAAGCAAACGTCGGAGTTGACCTTCAACAGCTCTTGGACAAGCTCGACATACCCTTTAGCAGAAGCTAAGTGTAGAGGTGAGGCTCCTTCGGAGTTCCGCTCACGAGCCAACTCCGGCTTTCGTCTCAAGATTTCTTTAGCAAAGTCAAGATGCCCAAGCAACGATGCTATGTGCAGAGGATTTTCTGCAACAGGGCCAACCCTGACTCTGTCTAGAATCAGTGCATCTTCGTCAAGCAATTGGCACAGGGACGCTGTGTCACCTTCCATAGCTGCATCATTAAGCCGTTTCTCCATTCTCTCTCTCTCTCTCTCTCTCTCTCTCTCTCTCTCTCTCTGATTCTGCCCCTTACCTGGGACCTTGGGTATTAATGCCCCGATTGCCCCGTCTTCCCTAGAAAATTCTCAGCAGTTTCTAAGTCTTGGTGCAATTAGGTAGCAGGACTAAAACGCGAAGAAGACCAGAAAAAAAGTGAAAAAAAAAAACAAAAAAGATAATATATAGAGTGAACGATGAACACTGAGAGACGCTAGGCAAACTGGCAACGGGAAAGTCTTCTCTGCTTGAACAGTTCAACGAACGTCCTTCCACGCATCTCCATTGGACCAAGTCAATAGAGCCACTTCAGTCCAGATTAGTAAACGAATGCGTCCTTCCACGCATCTCTTTTGGTCCAACCCTCTCCGTCGGTTGATTATTGAGTGGTTGCAGAGCTTTCGCAAATTCCTTTAAAACTACGACAGAAACAATTAACAAGTCATATGAAAACCTAACAGTAACAAAAATGATATAAATGAAAAGTAAAATGGTAGAAAAAAGATTAACATGGTAATAGTTTCTAAATATTAGTTTAATTTCTTTTTGAACAGTTGTTGCAGGTATGATAATGGGTGCATCAGCATCGTCTGTTTAATTTCTCATGCTTGATGGTCGAAGGCATCAAGTAGTCCAACATATTATGATCAGAGCAAGAGCATGCTCTCCCTCCAATGCCCCATCAGAGAGCAGGTAGAGGAATTGCATTTACACTCCCTTGGTTATCTATTCGTTGGATTATTTTGGAATTTAGAAATATTATATGAATCACGTGGCATTACAAATGGACCAGGTTTAATCCAATCCAATGAATATTTTGGATTGATCCATTCCATGTCTGGATCATCTAATCTGTTCAAATTTGTTTTAATTTAGATTGTTTCTCTAACCCAAACATGCATAATCCAATAACCACCTATATTATCATCTTCTATATCAATGGACCAGATATTAGCTCAATCCAACTAAATCCAATATTAATTTATTACAGATGAATCAGGTCCAATCCAATCTAATAATACTTTGAACCATTAAGTCTGGACTGATCTAATTTAATATGTATATATGTCTTGTTGGTCGGTCCAATCTATTCCAATTGATTTTGGTTTGGACGGGGTCCAATCTAAAATAGGTGGTGATTGCAGGTTTAATTTATCCTTTGCACACTGTCAACGTCTTCGATCGATGGTATTCTCTCTCTTCATTGTAGATGGCTTCCAGTCAATCGAAACGAGCTATGAGGGATTCGAACATTTGCGTGAGTAGTTCCATCATTTGCTCTTGGCCGGTTGTCAATGGTTGAACTTTCATTTGCAGTTGTGAAAAGTGATGTTTGTAACCTGGAATCATGCCCGTTCTGATACCAAATGATATGATCCAATTATGACATAATGTGGGATTCCATCTACTTGGAGGGAGATAAGGCCACCAATAGCAATCTTAACAGTGTAAGGGTTAAATTCTTCCATTCATAATCCTCAAAATGATGCTAACAAGAATATATATATAGACATCAATTGACTCCCAATTTCTCACGACTCTTAACTTACCTGATGGCTCAATTGAGTATACAATTACTAAAGTTGGTTTGGATAATTCATCTTCGTTCGTTTTTACCAAGTTAGTGTTATTGTAGAATTTCTATCTTAGTTCATATTTATCAAGATAACATTATAGCGTGATTTCATAATTTGCATTCAATTAGGACATTCTTTTTGAGGAGTTTTAGCAAGATTCTAAGATAGAGTGTTCAAGATAGATTAGGAAATTTCTTTGTAGGAGGCATAAAGGTATAAAGAAATCTATATAAAGAGTAGCTAGGGAAAAACTAAGGGAGTTTTTGGTTATTTTCTCTTAAGTATTCAGTAAAGAGTGGTTCTTTCTATTTATTTCAGCTTTGGTTCTTTTCTTTGAAACTTCTTTGAATGTTGTTTGGTATCAGAGCACATGTTTGATCATTCTTTAGATTGTGCTCCTAAGAAGAAACAAGTGACTCACATCATGGAGCAGGAGCTCAACAACAAAGCACAAAAAGAGGTGGTAGATGAGTTGAGAAGACAATTCGATGAACTTGCTCAAGAGTTGAAATCGTTGCAAGGGGACAACGACACCAATACAAGTGTCTTCACTTGTTCCTTTTCATTATCAAGGCAAACATCTTGGTCGATTATAGTTGCGGGTGGTGACCAGAAACAGTAGGAAATGGGTTTTAACATTGAGATTCCAAATTTCATGGAGGTATTCTATACTTGGTAAGCAACCAAAATTGGTTGTAATTGCAAGTGGAGAACATAAGCGATGGGAAACAGATATCAAATTTGAGTTCCCAAAGTTTAATGGAGGTATTAGAGGGGACCTGTGTGATGTACAGGATTTGTTAAGTAAACGCTAAACAATAGGAACACATGAGAGTACGCAATTGTAAACAATAGAAACATACAACAGTTATAAATAGACCTGAGTTGGTAGGTTTTCTAGTATTTCTAGTCAGCTTTGATTCAATAATTTCCAACCCGACTAGGTTGGATCAGTTTCACTTTGACCATTTGTAAACCAACCAAAATTAAATGACTTGACCATAGATATATGTTGATATTTTATATTTTAAGTATAATATTTTAATATGGGAGAGTGGGAAAATTCTCATATTTATTAGTCTAAAATATTTTATATCATAAATTTAATTTATTTTTAATAAAACCACTATTTTTCAATTTAAATTTAATTTTTAAAGTTTAAATTTTTTAACCGATTGATCAAACCAAAAGTCAACCCAAACTGATACAACCCAAGTGGGCCAGTTTTCACAAATGGTTAATCGGTTTCAAGTGACCAACTCCCCAACCTGACTAGGTTAATTTGATTGGCCAAACAACTTACAACTGAACATAACCAACCTGTGAATAGTCCTAACTTCAGCTAAATTAATAGTCTAATCTCTAATAAATAACAATAGTTTAATTTCCAATATTACTGAAAATTTATAGAAAAAATACACAATTATTGAAAATACATTGATAATGAAATTATAATAAATAACTAGTAAAAATACAATAATTACAAAAATATACTAAAAAATAATAATTTGATCTCTAATAAATATTAATCAATAAATAATAAAAAATATAATAAATACAATAAGTACAATAAATTAAATTTAAAAGTTCAACTATAGTAGTTTAACCTCCAACAATTATTGGAATTGTTTTGTTAAATGACAAAAAATAAATAAATTTATACATAATTATTGAAAATATACTTATCAAAAAAATTATTATTGAAACACGATAAATATTAATTTTAGTATATATAATTATTATATAAATATAGATAAAGAGTTTAAAATTATTATTAACAAATATTTTTTTTGAATGTTATTTTCTCAAATTATTATTTGATATAATTGAAATTAGTTCTTTACAATATAATTTGTTATTTAAATAATATCATTATTTAAATTTTAAAATATTAATTATTTATTGAAATTAAATTATTATTAATTTCAATATTATGTTATTAATTATTTTTCTAAATATATTTTTAAATTTATTACATACTTTTGTTATTTTAACTAATTAAAATATAGTTATGTTAAATATTTCGTTATTTAAAATATTTAGTTTTTTATATATTTCAATAAAAGTAAAATATTTAAATTTTTTTTGTTATTTTAAAGTTATGACATATTATATATTAAATATTTTGTTGTATAATTGTTTATCTAATATTTTGTTATTTAGGATATTTACTTACTGAAATATTTAAATAATATTTTATTTTTTAATGTTAAATTTTTATTATATGAATAACATTTAAATTGAATAATCTAGAAATTCTTAATTTATATTGTTAGTACAAAATTTTGTGATGAATTTTATAAAAAGATAAAATTATTAATAATATGATTATTATTAAATCTATTTGTATTATTTTTTTTTGTTTTTAATAAATATTTTAAAGTTATTATATAATTTTTTAGAATATTTAAATAATTCTTAATTTTTCTAATTCAAACTTTCTTTAGATAGATACTAGCGGGACCCGTGCGATGCACAAGATTTGTAAAGCAAAAGCTAAATAATAGAAACACATAAGAGTATACAATTATTTTATATTTTGAATTTTTAAATAATTAATAATTATTTATATTTTGAGTTCGACAATGGTATAGGAAAGATATGATATGTGAAAAATTTTTGACCAATCAACTAGTATCATAAACGTGGTAGCCAATAGGTGTTATTTATCAAAATTCATGGGTGTTTCATTGGTCAAAACTCTTTTGATTCCATATCTTTCTAGCATCATAGATTTTCCCTTAGATTTTGCCTTATATACTATTATTAATAATTTTTTACAATACAAAAATAACAATAATTAATTTCATCTGGCGTTTTTCATCATACTAGTGAAATCGACCAACTCGACTCGAATTGGTTAATTTTCTACTATTTTTGGTTGGCTTTGGTTCAACAATTTTCCAACCTAACCAAGTTATTGGATCAGTTTTGCTTTGGTTATTTGTAAATCTACCAAAATCAAACGACCCGACCATAGATATATATTTATATTTTATATTTTTAATATATTTTTAATATAGAAAAGTGGGAAAATTTCCATATTTCTTAGTCTAAAATATTTTATATCATGAATTTAATTTTTAAATTTATTTTTTAATAATGCTATTGTAATTTTTTAATTTTCCAACCTAACTCGAGTTGGGCGGTTTTCACTAATGGTTAGTTGGTTTTGGGTAGGAGTGCAAATGGATCGGATCATGATCCGATGTGATCCTATATTCTTGGAATTATATAGCCCCATTTCGGTTCTTTGGATTAGATCAGATGGTAGGATTCGATAAAAAATCAAATCAAATTCATATCACTTGGCTCTTATATAATTTGATAAGATTCAATATGATATATATGTTATTTATTTGTTTATATAAATACATAAACACACACGCACACAC